ACCTGGCTGTCTGAAGTTTCTATTTTATTTAATTCTTTTTATTTATTATTTAAAGCTAGCCCTGGCAGGCAGATGTCCAAGAAGAGATGCTGATCTGCTCGGACAAGGTCAGGGTGCTGGTGCTTGCCCCCATCTCCCCAGCAGTGCCCCCAGCCGTCCCAAGCACCCACAGAAGGTGAGTGCTAGCAAGGAGCCCACCCCATCTTCCAGACCACCAAAGCAAGTCAGACACATGTGCTGTGGCCAGAAGACCTGTTCAACCTACTGTTCTGCTCCAGCTTTACTTTGGGTCAAAGCACATCTTATTTTGACTCCAGATTTTTTTTTTTTTTTTTTTAAAAGATGGTGATCTAAGAGCTGCCAGTTTTCATTAAACTTTTCCAGGAATTGCTGAGTCCCTTCCTCTCTCTGTGTCCCCAGTGGTGGGGACCAGAGGTGGGCCAAGGTGGCTGAGCTGGAACACACAGCGACAGCAGATTTTTGGGTCAAAACACAGCCCCACACACCTCCACCAGAAAGCACCACCCTCACTGACTGCGTGACACCAGCCAGAAGGATGCTTCTCAGGACTGAGCGAACCAAAGCTCTGGTGTCCTCCTGCCATGGATGAATGAGGGTTTCAGAGCCTCCTCTGAGTTTGCACATGATTCTCTCTTAACAACTGAGCCCCCCACACACAGCTGCGGTGCCTGCCTTGCTGCCTTGAGACCAACAATTCATCCCGGCAGGGTTATTCCTCAGCACAGCGAATCTTCATGAGTCAGTCTGAGCAGGGGTACAGATGAGTGGCAGGCGGATAAAGGCTTTATTTATTAAAATAATAATTCTTTTTCTCTTTGTGAGGCAGAAAACCTACAAGGCTGTATTTGGTGTGACACAGGTAACCAAGTCCTAGGGCTGCATCTGACCACACGTATCAGTAACACTGATGAAATATGCTGAATATTTTCCTTTGTGGTTCCCAGGGCTCAGGGGTGAAGCAGTCTCTGCCCCACAGCCCCGTCAGACACCACATCTAGGTCGTGCTCCTCTGGGTCCTGGGTGAGGTCTACAAACACCTGCAATGCAACGCAGTGGAAATGACCCCATTATTGCCAAGGACTGACAGCATTTACGCTGGTCGCAGGCTATTTCTTCTTTTTATACAGGCAGTTTCTAGCCTGTAACTTCTACATCAACATACCTGTTGCAGAGTGTGCAATGACAAGCTGTACTCCTCAAGCCTGAAATTCTGTTTAGCTGCGGAGGGATGGAAAAGGCATCCTTAAAAAACAAATCCATATGAGCAATTTGAAAGCAATCTTCATACTTAATTGATTGCTTCCTTTTACCTGCTTCTAGCTTGGAGAAAGACTGGGACAGAGGTAGTGCATCTTCCATTGGTATCTTGTAGGTGAGCAAAGAAGAAGTCCTGAAAAAGGAATAAAAAATGAATTTATCATTTTGTGACTCAGCACCAAGGTTTAGGTTTGCTCGTAGGGTTATTGTACTCCCAGGTAAATTATTGAGCAAGGTCAGTAGGAGCAACAGAGCGTCCCAGCACAAGCCTGGGCTGGGTGTGCAGCCCACGGGGTACTGACCTTTCTTGCCGAGCCGCGTGTGGGAAGAGGCGCAGAATTTCGGTGTGGAGAGCATCGTTGTGCCCCATGTCCGTCATTTTGACTTCTAGGTGGTAACTTGTGCCAAACTTACTTTTCAGATCCTCAAGGGAACCGATGTACCTGCAGAGGAGGGAAAACAGTGTTCAAATCAGCATAAGCAGCAAATAAAACAATCATTGGATATGGGCAGCAGATGTACGTCCTCTTATTCATCATCTGTTTATACTGTGCTGCTGAAACAACCTACCTCCTCACAAAACTATGTTTGTTACACACTTGGAACAAACCAAACCAACATTTTCTATTAGATTAAGAAGAAAAAACAAACAAACAAAACCAAACAAAAAAACAGACTGAAAATCAGGCGGCAACCCGGTGAGCGATGCGACCCTGGTGCCCACCGTAGCTGCCCCGACACCAGGATGGCCACCCGGTCGCACATCGCCGCTGCCTCCTCCAGGTACTGCGTGCTGAGGATGGCTGCCCGCTCCTTGCCTTTGACGGCAGTCTGAATCACTTTCCTGGGAACAGAGGGATGACAGTTACTTCCCGGGAATAGCCAGAGAAAATCTCCTGTTTTATGTCTCACTTCCAAAAAACAACTGAAACGATAAAATTATAAAAAAGTGGATGACTATTTAAAAGACTTCAGTTATCTTGCTTGAAGACGACATGCGGATGCCAATGCTACGTTGCAATTTGTAATGTCAGCATCTCTCCAAATGTTACACTTTCAGTGTAAACTGTTGAAGAAAAGCTAGAGCAACCACTAGGGCTGAGTGATGAAAAGGAAGAACTACCTATACTTTTTCCTCATGCTCTGAGGAAAACAGGAATTTTTGTCTTTTGTACCAAATGCATGGGTTCAGCTGGAATCTGCTCAGATTTTTTGGGTGCGCTGCCGTTAAGATTATATCTGATGGTTAGCAAGGACTTGCTGCCTGCTGAGTAAGGAGTTCAGCGAGTGGCACCCAATCAATCCCCTGTGCATTGGGAAAAAGGGAAAATACAGATGTTCTCTGCCACCGAGGCAGAACCTCTTTGCTTGCCCAACGGTTACTACAATTGTGAGGGTAACACCTACCCTGTTAAATCTGTTATACAGTTCTCAGTTCTGCTAAAACGGGGCTGCTCACCACATACGGCGCTGCCCTTTCAGGTCCATGCCCACTGACGGCTCATCCCAAAGCATTGCTGTCAGGTCTCCCAGGACGCTCAGCGCAAAACACAGCTGAAATGGGAAAGACACAAAGGTCAGGTCAGGTCTGCTTTTACTTCACCTGCAAAACTGGTGAGTTGTCCTGCTATATCTTAATCCCCGTGAGCCTTTTAGAAGCTGAAGCTCTTGATTCCGAAAAGCAGGAGGAACAGGGATTAAAAAGAACAAAACCAACAAACCCCACCTCAGATGTTCTTAGTTAACATTTTAATCCCCCAAAACCGGCTTTCCCCAAAACTCCCAAGCCTACCAAAGATCTGAAAGCGGTTTTCCATCCCATTTATTGGCAGATGCATGCGATGGGGCATAAAGAGGTGATTACCTTGTAAATCCAATTTGTGGTTAGCATTTATTAAACACACAGTGTGGGAGAGTGGGGAAAGAGGAGAGGGGGGATCCTGCCAGGCTGGATTCAAAAGCTATTGATGAAAATGAAGCATGCCAGGAACCCACTCTGCTGTATGTGCTTCTGTGTTTGAAACCATAAGGATCTTTCATGAGCACGCTGAATTTCCAGAAATTTTTATTCAACTAAGATTTTAAGCTTCACTTCAAGAAGAAAATTTCTACTTTGTGAAACAAAAAAATAAAACTTTTACAACATCAAGAACTATATTCTGCTCTCACTGACACCAGGACAAGGAACCCAAGGCATCCTTGAGCTTGAATGGAGATTTTCTGTGCACCGAGTTCAAGGAAGAAAGAGCAGGATTTGCTCAAGTAGCAAACACAAATCTAACATGTACCTTTCTGGCTTCTCCAGCAGATAACCTCCTAGCTGGTGTTTTTAAATGCTTCTGGAGGTCCAAGGCCTCTGCTATGCTGTGGGGAATGGAAAGGAAAAATACTGAAATGACCGGCTCTGCTAATACCATGGTCGGGGGTACTGAGGAACTAGAGACTAACATACTTTTTTTGGCTGATATGCATTGCC